ATCAAGACTTTTTCTTCTGAAAAATGTCATTAATGTGGTAGGCTACAAAATATCTTAATCTCTGAAAAATATATTTTCTCATTGATTCAGAAAAATAAAACTATATATAATAAGGAAAAGACAGAATATGGAGGTTTGACCTAAAATTTTATATTTGCATTTGTTTCAATTATTGAGGCTAGTATTAAGATTAGATAATTGCAACATGTGAAATTCTGACTAGGCTCAAAGTGCAAAATTGGTCATTCCAATCACACTGCCAACTATTGAAGATAACAAATTACTTCAACATTTGACAATATTTGGGTCATGGAAGGAAAATGGAATGGATATATCACAAAGAATCTACATTTTTCCCTATAACATACAATTGAAATACAAAACAAATTAGAAAATGAAGAAATCAGGAGCTGGTTCATCTGTTATGATTATCATTCTGGTTAATCTGCTAATACCAGAGGCATCATTGGGGGAGCCAAGAGCTCAGGTAATTGAGTTAACATGCGGGAACCAAACTTCGCCCGACCCCACCATTCCTATGGCAAACTTCATTGTTACAATGGAAAATGAGAGTGCACAAATGCGAATTTCAGGCTTTGGCATAGCCGGAACAGGCTCAGGACCCGATTCTAATTATGGATTAGCACAATGTTCCGGTGATCTTTCTTTAATCGATTGTGTGTTATGCTACACTGAAGCACGCTCCACTCTTCCTCAGTGCTTTCCTGGCCATAGTGGAAGGGTTTTCCTCGATGGCTGCTTCATGCGAACTGAGAATTACAGTTTCTTTCAAGAGTATACTGAACCGAATGACAAGGCTGTCTGTGGGAATAGAACTCGAAAGAATTTAGCATTTCAGATATCAGCACGACAGGCTGTGTTGCAGGCAGTTTCAGCAGCACCAAACAATAATGGCTATGCAAGGGCTCAAGTGGCAGTTTCCGGGACAACAAATGAGTCAGCTTATGTTCTTGCCGACTGCTGGAGGTCACTTAGTGCTAGCTCTTGTATAGCTTGTTTGGAAAATGCATCTGCATCTATATTAGGATGCTTGCCATGGTCCGAGGGCCGTGCACTGAATACAGGGTGCTTTGTTAGGTACTCTGACACCAACTTTCTTAATCCTATACTGGGAAATGGAAGTTCGAGAGGTAAAAAGGAGCTTTATGATCTTTCCCCTAGCAATTCTCTAAAAAAATTCGCCTCTTCTAATTGTGCCAGCAGTTGCAGTTTCAAGTTTGAACTTTCTTTCTTCTGTTCATTCTATTTCTGTTTCATCCTGTTGGGACTTGAGTTCATACAGGAGGAGAAGCCTCACTCCTTGTAAATTGTAGACCATCCCTATGTCTAGCCGATATGGGACTTTTGTTCACGCTTTCCCAACACTTCCATCTTTGGATATTATAAATTCTTAATATGTTTCTTAATAAGTTAAAACTTTCATTATTTTACCAATCTAGCCGGATGATGTATTTACAACTGACTTTTGCAGGAACAATAACAATTATAGTGGCAGCTGTTGGTTCCATAGTTCTTTTGCTTATTGGAACATTCATTGGAGTTTATATTTGGAAGCAAAAAACAATACATAAGAAGAGAAAAGGTAGACTGCATTTGCTATATATTTGTTCTGCATCACGTGGAACCTTTCCATACTAAAAAGATTTTTGAATAATGTTCAAGCACTCAATGTTATGATAACTAGGTAGAATACGGTCTTTGAACATTATTGATGATATATATGATGGTCTCATCTCTTC